CGAGTGGCGATGGAGGTGACGATGACGGCGGCGGCGGCGACGGCGGCGGCGCCGGCGGCGATGGCGACGGCGGCGGCGGCGATGGTGGCGGCGGCGACGGCGGTGGTGGAGACGGAGGCGGCGTCGGAGGCGGCGGGCTCGGTGGTGGGGGTGAGGGCGGTGGGGGGCTTGCGGGAGGCGGCGACGGCGGCGGGGAGGGCGACGGCCGCAGCGGAGGCGGCGGCGAGGGCGGGGGTGGGCTGGGCGGTGGCGGTGACGGCGGTGGCGATGGCGGTGGCGGCGAGGGTGGTGGCGACGGAGGTGGGGGTGAGGGCGGCGGCGGTGAGGGCGGCGGCGGCGAGGGTGGCGGCGGCGAAGGAGGCGGGCTCGGCGGCGGCGGTGAGGGAGGCGGTGGCGACGGAGGTGGCGGTGAGGGCGGGGGCGGCGACGGCGGTGGCGAGGGCGGCGGTGGCGAGGGAGGCGGCGGGGATGGTGGGGGAGGCGAGGGCGGTGGTGGAGACGGAGGCGGGCTCGGAGGCGGCGGGCTCGGTGGTGGGGGTGAGGGCGGTGGTGGGCTTGGGGGAGGCGGCGACGGCGGCGGCGAGGGCGGCGGCGGCGACGGTGGCGGGGGGCTGGGAGGCGGTGGCGATGGCGGCGGCGGGCTCGGGGGGGGTGGGCTCGGGGGCGGTGGACTCGGAGGCGGTGGCGAGGGCGGTGGAGGCGAGGGAGGTGGCGGGCTGGGCGGGGGTGGGCTCGGAGGTGGCGGCGACGGGGGCGGCGGCGATGGCGGCGGCGGGCTGGGCGGCGGAGGCGACGGGGGTGGCGGGCTTGGGGGCGGCGGCGAGGGCGGCGGCGAGGGCGGTGGCGGCGAGGGCGGCGGCGTTGACGGCGGCGGCGGCGAGGGCGGCGGCGTGGATGGAGGTGATGGCGGCGGCGGCGAGGGCGGCGGCGGCGAGGGCGGCGGTGACGGCGGCGGTGGCCATGGCGGCGGCAAGGGCGGCGGGCTCGGTGGCGGCGGGCTTGGTGGCGGCGGCGAGGGTGGAGGTGGCGTGGGTGGCGGCGGCGATGGCGGAGGTGGTGAGGGCGGCGGCGGCGACGGTGGTGGCGCAAGCGGAGGGCTGTTATGCACCACGATGTAGACGTTTGAGTAGAATACCGCCTGCGGGAGGACCGACTGCGATTGCAGCGCACTTCTTTGTCTTGCTCCCTCGAGCTCAAGATCGAGGTCTGCACCCGTTCTGTTTAGCGCTCTTAGGCAGAGTAGATAGGTTCCCGCTGGCTCATGCGTGTTGAGGGGCGACTCGAAATCGTCCGTGTCTTCCCCTGGGTTGGTCAGAACAAGGTCACTGAGAAGCACATACCTTCCAGACCCGGCCGGTTCCTCTTTTCTCTCCACGCGACCGCCGTGTCTTCGGTGACGCCATCCCATGCGCCATCGACCCGATTCCCAAAGCTGTTTGTGATCGAGAAGGCCGAAGTGTGAATGCCT